ACACACACACCATTTCTGCCTGGCTGCTGGGAATCACACACACACACACACACACACACACACCATTTCTGCCTGGCTGCTGGGACATCCTCAAGAAGGTCGCTGCTCTCCATGCAGCCCTGAGAAGGGAGGCTGGCATGAAGCAGTACTGATGGGCAAGGGCTGGTGCTCACCTCCGTGTACTGAGGAGCGCAGTGGGCACCGCTTGGGAACAGGCACTCCACCAGCTCCAGCTGCCCCATCGACAGGTCGCTACTGCAACACCTCGCGGCTGACCGCTGCCTTTGCTCGTAGGAGACTTTGATGCCGGTACCTGTGAATCTGTCACAAAAGGCAGCACTGACCAGGAGCTCACACAGCACACCCAGACCCGACGGGCTCTGGAACGCACACGGGCACCTGCACAGCACTGACCAGGCGCTTCCCAGGAACAACAGCACCTGATGGGGAGGAGGGGTCCCTGTCCCTGACCCAAACCCTAACACCCGGTACTCTGCAGATGGGAATAATCCGGGACACAGGCACTGCCCAGCAGTGCCCTCCACCTTGTGTAGTTCTGAAATTTACGTGACAATAAAAAATGTTCAGATCCATCCGCACAACGCAGGAAAAAGTTTCTTAAAACGACCTGGGACTGGCATGCAACTGGCAGCTATTTGAAACGACTTTAGAAACCAGAGGGGAAATGGCCGGTCTGAGTACTGCTGCCCCGGCACTTGGCTTCTCTGAGCAGCTTGTACATTCTCAGACTTCAGAAAGCTAAAGGATCAATGTTTTCCTGAAAAGAGTTCACGTGTCTCTCATAAAAGACCATGTAACATTTATAGATGATCTTCATGTCGGGTACATGCTTAAACAGTGATTGTAACATCAGGGGCCGTGCTTCCACCTTGCTCTAAGTCCACTTCCCCACACATTTGTGAAGCCCCCCAGCACACAGGCAGCCCCGGACTAGGTGGGCGCGGAGCCAGGGCCCCGCAGTGCAGGGAATGTCGCCCTCAAGCAGGTCCAAGTGCTTCTCTGGTCGCTCAGTACATCTGAAACTGCGTCAGCACCAGGCGGGGCTCTTCAGTACACAACAGAATCATGAACACGTTTGAAATGCAAAAAGCCTCCAAAGTGGCCCTGGGTCAGATCAACGGTGCCCCACTGGGCTGTGTGCAAACACAGTTTTCTGTGCGCCCACGCAGGGCACCGGGGAGCAAGAGGGCGAGTCTGCCGGGGCGCAGGCATGCACCAACTGATCACCTCACCTACTGGGACCGGCCCAGGAAAGGTCCCCAAGCTGCGGGGGACGAGACTGCTTTGCTATTTTTGGAGTGAGATTTATAGGGATGATACCCAAGCCCAAGGACAGGCCCCAGCCCTGTCCCCCAGCCCTTGCCTGGTGGCATCTAGACCACCCCTGCTGACAGGTCTGCCGAGAGCCCTGCTCTAAGGGCCTTCTTGATGCTTGTCGGGTGTCAGAGGGGCTCACAGAGCAGGGCAGTAAAGACCCCCTAAGACCCTGAGCCTATGCTTTGCTGGCTACAGTGTGGGGTGCGTGCAGGCCCACGATGGATGAAGCATTGCAGCAGCACAGCCAGGGATCGCATGGGCATGAGAACCACCAGGGTGACCCCAGGGGCCCAAGCCGGGAGCTGCTCCCTGCCTCACTGCATTACCTCAGATGGTCGTGGGAGCATGCTTCGGCAAACACCGCTCGGAAAGACTCGAAGTGCCCTGTGGAGAAGCTCTCTGGGCCCGACTTTTCGATGCAGGTGAAGAAAGCCGTGGCCATGGAAGTCAGTGGACTAGGGCTCGGGGGCGTGTCCGGTGGGGGCAGCGGGTCGATGTGAAGCACGGAGACGGACAAGGTCCCCACGGCGAGTCTGAAGATGAGCTCAGGCCTGGACTCATCCACGGATCGCGACGAGAGAGCTGGAGCACAGGGGGACCGTGAGAGCCGGCCAGCGAGCTATTTGCCACCACCGGCGGCAGGGGCCCACAGGGCAGGGGAGCACCCTGCTGCTGTGAGGGGAGCCGTTAAGCAGAGCAAGGTGACACAAACCTCTATCTTCCTGCACTGTTCCTGTCAGATCTTCGGTACTCAGAGCACAATCAGAACCTTGGGCTTGATCAAAGCCCCTGAAAGATCAGCGAGGAAGCAGGGTGGCTCCCCAAGCCTTCCTCTAAGCCCGGGGTTCTTTGGACTAAGCTCTGTACGCAGAGTGACAGTGACATAGTGTCTACTGGAACGGAGAAGGAACGGGGCTGCGGGCGGACACACCAGCAGCGAGCTGTCCCACAGCGCCCCCCATGCGCCGACATGTCCCTAAGTGGCTTGGAGCAAAGGACACACGCACACAACAGAAAGGCGCTGCTTAGACAAAGGAAACTGAAGCTCTGGACAGTGAACGTGCAGAGCACAGGTCTTCTGCCTACTTACGAGCCTTCTGTGATGGCGTTGGGCGGGGGAGGCTGGGCGGGAACGGCGGGCCCCTTGTTGGCTGCTCCTTAGGAGGGTCCAGGCAGCCCCCCCACGCTGGCTGGTGCTGGAGAAGGTTTTGCAGAAAAGGCATGAAGCAGGCTGGTGCCTGTGCGCACCTGCTCGAGAACCTGGGGCTGACTTGAGACCCGCTGCTTACCGCTGTGCCCAACGGTGAGCTGGCGGGGCTGCTGGCATAGGTGCTGGTCAGCGAGAGCTCCAGGTCCACGTGCGGGGGGTCTCCGAGGGGTGGGAGGGAAGACAGACTGTGGGACATGTCCATGTCTGCCATGGAGAAGAAGACCTCCTCTTCTGGAGAGGAAGGGAAGGATGGTGTGATCCCACCACCGCCCGCTTGCTGGACAACCTGACACTTTACCTTAAAATCCCCCAGAGCACACCAGACCCCAATCACAGGGGGTTCCTACACTGTCCCCACTGGACTCCAGGTACCAAGGACACAGCAAACAGGGGCTGCTCACAGGTCAACAGAGAAGTCCCGGGCCAGCGAAGGGCATTAGGGCCACACTCTCCACGGGCGCTCTGAAGCACCATGGGTTCACTTGGTGTGAGACAGCCTGGGGTTAGGCCTCTAGCTTCGTACGGACACAACGATTTCTCTACACAAACAAAAGAGCCAAGTCCATGACCTCCGACCCTTGAGCACACTGCACGGGCCTGTGCCCTCCTTACAATTGAATTTTTTACTGTCTGACATCCCAGCTTACGTTGATCCTGTACTATTTGCAGTATCTGAGATGCTGCGAGCCCCACTGGGTAGAAACGACAGACCAGAACCACGAGGGAAAGGGGGTCTCCTGTGACCCAGCCCAGCCCTTCCCCCGACCCACTACCCCTGGTGGTGGGGCGTCCTGCTGTTGTGGCTGGGATGCTGTGGGCTCTGCCATGGGATTTCACAAGCCAGCAGACAGGGGTTCCCAGGAGGCAGGGGTCAGTGGTGCCTCCACTGGGCAGACAGGACCTAGGAGCTGGAGTCTACTCAGGGCACCATCAGCAGCGGCTCATAAAACGAGGATGCACTGAGTCATCACCCCAACTTCACTTCTGTGCAAACCTAGGCTTTTCAATGAACATTCTCGGAACAAGTCCCTTTTATACGAGACAAAAGCCCTGCCCTGAGAGCAGGGCACGGCCCTCTTCCCTCTGCTCTGAGCGCCTCTACCTAACCCCCAGCCCTCTCCCCATGCCCTTCCATGCACAACGCTCACCACGGCTGGACGGGGTGCGCGCTGCGTCCGTCTCATAGGAGCTGTGCTCGGAGGGGAGTCCGGTGGAGAGGGGGTCTTCTCTCAAGTAGCACCGGCTCAGCTCCATCCGGACGCGGTACTCATCTTCCTGCTGCATGGGCCGGCTGTTTCTGCCCTTATTAGACAGTCCTATTTTGCTAGAGTTTTCTACAAAGGAAAGCAAAGAGCCATTAAGCCTGGAGTTACCGAATTAATCATTTCTCTCCCTGAATCCATTCACTCACTAGCAATGGTGAAAAATACCCATTCGTGCAAACCCACCACAGCTCCATGTTAATTGGCGCTCAAGGTCTGAGTCATCAAACCTCACCTCGGCAGGTCTGAGTCACTAGGAACGCATCAGCATCCCAGGCAGGGACTCAGGTTGAGAAGCACCATCCTCAGAAGTTCCTGTCATGCTGAGAGCTAATTTGTGCCACAGTAACACGGCTCTAAGGCACAATCAGACTGCAGGGGCAGTGACTTACGTAATGCGGCTCTAACTCCCACCAAATGACCCTTCCCTGCATGGGTATGCTAAGAAGGTGAGGAGGGATACTGATTCACCTGTGGGTCATTGTGAACAGGTGTCCCAGGAGTGCCATCCTACTGGGTATAACATGAGCCCTCTGAGAAGCAGGAGGAGGGATCTCATGACCAGAGAGAGCCAGGAGTGGAGCGCATTCTCTGGACCTGAGATCCTGCACAGGGAACTCCTGGATCCAGGAGGCCTGTACCCTCAGAGGAGCAGCAGCAGAACTAGGAGCCAGAGCATGGAACAGAGTGATGGACTTCCCAACCCACAGAGCAAGTCAAGAGGAGTGCATTTGTGCAGGAGGCTGGCTTGAGGAGTGGGTGCCTCTGGGCACTTAATTGGGGGGGCCTGTACTTGCTGACCCACGGAGTCTTCAGGTAAGGTTTACAGCAGAGTGGTGTGCCCCTTTGGGCATTTATTAGCAGACTGGAAACTTTGTAACAGGTCCTGGTAAACAACTAGCCTAAGTATTTCTCACTGACATGAAAACGTGTGAGCTTCCTTAATAAACCCTTTCATCATGAAATTTGTCTGTGAGTTTCCGGGTAGCCATTACAATGTGTATGAGAAACTAGAAAGATGAAATAGTGGACACTAAATAAGACTATACACAAATGGAACTATTTCTGATTTTTAAAAAATCATTTTATTGGGGGCTCATACAGCTCTTATCACATCCATCCATCGTTTCAAGCACATTTGTACATTTGTTGCCATCTTCATTCTCAAAACATTTTCTTTCTACTTGAGCCCTTGGTATCAACTCCTCATTTTTCCCCTTCTCTCCCTCCCTCACCCTTGATAATTTATAAAAATTTTTTTCATGTCTTACACTGTGTGATGCCTCCCTTCACCCACTTTTCTGTTGTCCGTTCCCCAGGGAGGGGGTTATATGTAGATCATTGTGATCGGTTCCCCCTTTCTACCCCACCTTCCCCTCCTTGTATCACTACTCTCAGTAGTGGTCCTGAGGGGTTTATCTGTCCTGAATTCCCTGTGTTTCCAGTTCTTATCTGTACAAGTGTATATCCTCTGGTCTGGCAGGATTTGTAAGGTAGAATCGGGATCATGATAGTGGGAGGGAGGAAACATTCAAGAACTAGAGGAAAGTTGTATGTTTCATAGGTGCTATAACGCACCCTGACCGGCTTGTCTCCACTATTTCTGATTCTTATTCACAGCGCATCAGGGCCCACACCTGGATCAAGACGTCTGGCCGAGGGTAAGTACGGTGCCAGGACTGTCTTCAGTGGATGCTCAGGTGCAGGGGTCAGTGCCTTGGTGGCCCCCAGCCTGCCAGCCATAAAGCACTGATGGGATTCTCTCAGCTGTGAAGGAAAAGCCCTGGACCTGGGGCCGCCGTGCAGAATGCACCCAACATTGACAGACGGGCCCTCAGTCCACCTTGTCCTCTGAGAACAGTACCAAACCAATGTTCCTGGTGAAGCAAACACCAGCCAGTGAAAGCCAAAGGCAGAGAGAGAGATGGGGTTGGTCCCAGGACAGCAGAGGCAGCCGAGCAGTAGCAGCTCAGGCCCAGTGAACGCCACATAAAGGAAGAGGCAAACCACCACCTTGGTGGACGCAGACCAGGTCCCGGGCCACAACCCAGCACCGCGCATTGTGAGAAGCTGCCAGTGAGCTGGGGGGTGAAGTGTGGGTGGGGGGTGAGGGGAAATGCCTCAAATGGGTAAAGCCCTTGGGTAATGACCCACAGTTCCCTCACTGGATGGGAAAGCCTGAGCACTGGGGCCCTTTGGCCTCTGAACAGAGAGGAGGAGGCCTGCTCAGCAGGAGCAGCCAGGCTGGGGGTGGGGTGGGGGGTAAAAGTAAAACTGCATAGAAGTACAACTGCTCCCGGGTGCAGCCCCCAAACCTGCCACAGAAAACCCTTAGGGGCCCACAGGCAGCCAGCCACCAGGACAGACAGACCCTTCTGCAAAATGGCAGCACACAGGGTCGGCACGCCTGGCACCAGTCTGTTTTCTGACTCAGTGCTCAGCATCCTGGGAGGGTCACACCGCCATTTACAGTGACATCCACACCACAAACCACTATGCAATGCTGTTGGCGTGGAAGGGGATTAATGAACGTGTAAATGAATGGAAGGACAAGGCACGCTCATGGCTCAGAAGGCTTTAGAATGCCAAACGGTTCCTGACGCAGCCTACAGCCCTGATGCAGCACTCATCAAAATCCCAGCAGCCTTCTCTAGGGAAATGGCCAAGTCCACCCTCCAATGTGTATGAGACCACACTGTAGGCGTCCAGAACAGCCAAGGCAGAGAGAATGAGGCACATCACCCACTAAAACCACCAAGACCACCCGGTACTGGTTCAGGGGACAGAGACCAAAGGATGAGAGTGGAGCCCAGAAATAAACCTGCTAATCCCTTTTTTGACAATGCCTCTAAGTCCGTCCACTGGGCAAGAGGAGCCCCTAGGAAACACAGATTTCCACAAAGGAGGAAGCCTGGAGCCAGACCTCACGCCACCTTAGGAACACAAAGTCAGACAGTGCCGAGACCTCAATGTGAAAACCAGGAGCAGACAAGTCTTACAAGAGAATCCAGGGACACGCTTGGAGAGCTAGTTTTTAACGGAAGGTTCTTAAACACGACCCGAGGAGCATGCACAGAAAGACAGGCAGACCGAAGGGCCGGCATCAGTGTGAGGAGACGCTGGCACGGGGCAGGGTCAGCAAAATACAATGTGCCCCAACAGCCTGGGTGTCAGTTTCAGGGGGGCTCCCTTGTCCAGCACGGTGGCTGAGGCCTGCCAGCCCACAGGGCCCCACACTCAAGCCTGTGCTCACACAGCTGTTTCAGAGACAATCCCTCCCCCCCGCAGAGGCTGTCATCTTGCCACATCACAAAGAGGGGAAGCTACCTTAGGAGCTCACAGACCTTGAGGTCCCCAGTCCCTTCCCCCCTGCCTATAAGGAGGGGTTGGTCACTCAGGGACATGTCCCTGCCCATCTCTGCCTGCTCCTCTCCACGGATGTTCGCACCCATCTGCCCTTGTGGGTCCCCGAGGCTGTAAATATTTACTGGAGCAGAAAGCCTCATCTTTGTCCCTCAGAGGAGCTGGTGGGCTTGAACCGCCAACTTTGCAATTAGCTGCCCAACACCTATCCCACCATGGCATCAGGGCTCCTTAACCAGTCATTAGGAAGATGCACATGAAACCCACACTGAGCTATCGCTTCCCTCCTACGGTAAACTCAGGTGGAATAAAAGGGAAACAGCAGGTGTTGGCAGGATGTGGAGAAAATGGCCCCAGGGATGTCGGGTCTGGAAAGCTGGGCAGCTCCTCAAAAAGTTAAACATGGGGTCCCCTTATGACTCGGGATTCCGTGCTGGGGACCACACCCAGACGGTCCCTGCAGCACTACTGACAAGAGCCAAAGGCAGGAACAATCTCAATGTCCACCAGTGCACAGCGGGCAGACGCATGTGTCTACCCAGGGAGAAAACCCAGTAGCTTCTCATCCCATCGGAGCGCCCTGTGTATGCAAAGAAGTAAGGCTCAGCCACAGGGAGACTAGAAGCCCTGGTGGAGTCGTGGGGACACACGGGGCAGGCGGCTAAACACAAGGTCAGTCGTTTGAAAACTCGGTGAGGCTGTAAAAAGTCATGGTTTCGGAAACCCACAGGAGCAGTTCTACGCTGTCCTATACTCAGAATGGACTTGGTGGCAGGGAGGTGTTCTGGTCTAGGAGAAACGCGGTCCAGATGCAGGCTACAACAGAGCTGACCCTCGAGCACATTATGCCGAGTGAAAGAAGGCAATCACAAAGGGGCGGATCTAGTGTGGGAATGCAGCGTGGCCCAGTGTGTACATGAGATACCGACAGCAGGCAAGGCGTGCATGGGGACCCGGAGCTGTGTTCGTGGAAGCAGACAGCGGTAAGGGTCCCCCAGCGAGCACGAGTGCCATGGACTGCACCAGTATAAGACACTGGAGCATGCATGCACGTATGTGCGCACGCGCACACACACGAGTGCCATGGACTCCACAGTACAAGACACTGGAGCATGCATGCACATACGTGCACGCGCGCGCACACACACGAGTGCCATGGACTGCACCAGTATAAGACACTGGAGCATGCATGCACGTACGTGCGCGCGCACACACACACACTGCCAT